TTTGTGTTGATTCTTTATTTCTCGCACAATTGTTCAATTTTTGTGTTCTCTGTAAACTCTGGGACCAACAAAATACAACATGATCGGTGTGCATTTTTGGAGTAAGTTTATGTGCATTACCGTACTGTTGAAAAGCACCCATGTATTCTTTGGCCTGAAACCTTTTGTTCCCCACTTCTTTGAGCTCATGGCCTTTTTTTTTTTAAAGAAAAAAAAGAAAAAAATGGATGAATCCAATTCAAAACCACCATTAACAGTAGGTGCGGGGTCCTTATCTCCTCCAGATGATTGGTTTTGGTTTTGGTTTTGGTTTTGGTTTTGGTTAACTCTACTCTTCTTTTTCCTAACCCCAGACCTCCCCATATAATCCTCACATCCTCCAAAGATTCAAACTTTATTCTAAATAAAATAAAACTTATCAATAATGAACAAAATTCAGATACTTTTTGGAGCACAGATTAGAATTTTTCTTCCTAAAAATCAGACAATAACTTAAAGAAGGAAATAAAACAGACTTACAGGTATCAAATTCACACCTCTTATCAAAATCTAATTTTTATTTAATGGTGAGCACCACAAGAAGGGAATTCAAGAAAAATGAATATAAATGAGAAGGGTCTTCAAGAAAAGGAAAATTCCCCCAAGTACGGGGAATTCTTCACAGAAGGTGTTTTTTTTTCTGGCTTGCTATCTGCCAATGAAGATGCATCAAATATCGCGGTCACGGTATGAATTTTGTGAAACCTTTGCAGTACGTGTAGCATTACTCTCGAGAAAAAGAATTAAAAATGCTATGAGAGCAGAATTTATTGTGAGAGGAGTCCACTCGTTTGAGTTATTCGAGTGATTAGATTAAACCCCAGTTTGAGCCACATTTTCATTTCCATTTTCATTCTCATTTTTCTACTCATTCTCAATCACACATTTTTCAATAAAATAATATTTTTCATCACATCAATAACATTTCATTCTTTTTTAACTACATATTCACCATCACATCACAAAGAAATACATTATTTTCATTTTAATGTGCATCAAACACACTCTAATTCAAGATCGACCTTTTGGCCTGCAAGTTGACTTTCCAAGTAATTTGACTTATGAACAGGTGTATTTATAGGGAGGTGAGCCATTAGTCAGTTGGACTCATAATTTAAGTGAGTTGGGAACACGAATCAAGCAACGAATCGCTTGAACTGTTTGTCGACTTGAGACGATTCGTATTTTAATTACAAAATGCAATTTTTAACCCGAAAAAAATCCCGCCGACTCGACTTGCACATAAGGGGAGCCCAACTTTCTTATGGTGAACCACAAGTGGCTTGTGAGTCGACTCCACTTGCTCACAAGGGGCGCGATCTTTGGACGAGCCTAGCCTAACTTTCTTGAGGCAAGCCTGGCGCAAGCTAACTCCCCGAACGAGCCCTAGAGTGGACGAGCTGCTCCATTTAATAACCTTAGATATTTATAACTGCCAAGTGAGCTTTAAATTTTTTTCCTCTCTCATGTTCCTCTTTCTTTGGTTTTTCTGATTTTCTTCTCTTTATTGTATCCTGTTATTTATTAATTTATCTTGAGCTTAACGTTCATTTTATTTTCTGAGGCTTATTAGATTTTTAAAAGTCTATCCACGAATAATTTTGAAAAGTAATTCTCATCACTTATACATTCTCCTTTGGATTTAACTTGGATGACATGAAAATTAAATAGACAAAGCAGAAATAATCGATATGGTTTACAAGCCAGTTGACACATTGATGCGGACATTACGATTTATGTTATTGTAGATTTTTATTAATTATTTTTTTATTATTAATGGGCTTGTAGTAGTTGGTTGGCCCAAACCCCGTCATTCGTAGGTTAAGTTTTTACTATTTATTGAATTTTTCATAGTAGTTGGAATAGTTGATAAATATGATGAAATAAAATGGCATTGCTTGGAGCAATCGTTTTCTTCCTACCCCTTTACTCCTGAACTTCTATTTCTTCTCCGGCTTCTTCTCCCATTCTCTCTAGTTTCTCCCCCCATTCTTGTTGCCTTCTTATTTGTCCTACATCAAATTTAGTATCAGAGCCAAACTTGGAAATTCTTCACTGCATCGGCAAAGCTGCGACTCCCCAGCAATCTTCACCTATCAACAGTCATCTATTACGTGCACCATCTCCTTACAGAGTAAAACATGGGTAATACTTCTTCATCCATTACAAACATAAACCAAAAGTATATGATCCTTTGAAAACTCGCAAGTGTAGGAGATCGTGGTCAAATAATATAATGATGAATAGAGTGTCGAACCCATGAGAACTGTGTGTTTGACAGAGTTAAAATTAATTGTAACTTTAATCGAAGAGCATACAAATTTTGTGATTTTTTTCTATACTAATACCTAAATTATCAATTAAACTAATGAAAGTAAATATGTTTTTCAAATATGTGAGATACATTGCTAAAATGTCGAGTCTCCCTTATTATTTCATTTTTAGTGTAACAATTAAAGTGACAATTTAAATCATTCATATTGGTCAATGTTCCTAATTTAATTGAAAGCCTATCTCAATAACGATCAAATTCCCCTCATGTGACATTTCTATCTCTCGATGAAAGATGCAAATATGATAAATGTATTAACAAGTACTAGAACACCTATTGAAACTATATAATGCATAGAGGTATATCTTTATTCTCTATCAAACCTTATAATGTTTATTATAATATGCTTAAATCCTATTGTCTCTCTCGATAACAATAAAATTCACTGACCATTCAATTGATGATCAATCAATTGAAAAAAACGATAAAAACGATAATAAATATCCACAAATCAAATCAAATTAAAGTCAAAATAATTAATTAAAAACTAAAAATATCATAACAAGGGTTCATCTCATCCTAAAAATGTATAGAATTAGCCGAACATATCGAAAATATGAGAAAATATATTTGAGTGAAAAAACATAACCCAAATTTTTGATAAATTGAAAAGATTAATATTGAAATTTTGAATTTTTTCGATGATTTCTTGATAAATATATATGAGGTCCCCCACATGTGTTCTGCTGTTAGGTATTTGTAGGAGTAGAAAATTGGTTAAAAATCATGACCAAATTGGTTTCCAAAAGAGTTCCAATCGAATAAAGAAAATTGTCTTCGCGCGCGAATTTTTTTGTTTCTGCACAGCAGTCCATATTGTGGTCATAACATTCTCTCCTGTTATCCGATGGAGGAGATTCAAAGTGCGTTGAAAAGCTAACTCAAATAGCTACAATATCTCTAGAAATAGAATTTTTTTCAATTCGGACGTTTACTGTGCCAAATATCGATCTCAATTTTCGACTAAAAATTTGTTATATAACTTGTGTGATTGAAAATTGATTTTGATACTATTTTGATCATATTCCATTCCTTTTTGAGTTCTAATTTCATCCAATTATCTCCTAAAAATTTTCAAAGTATCATCTTATGTCCAAATCAACTATTGAATAATTACAATTTGGTCCTCAAACTTTAATTTTGCCATTTTCACCAA